GTTAATATGGAAGTTAAAGGCTCCCTCTGGAACCAAGAAGACCTGAATACAAATCTTGGTTCTGTTACTTAATAGCTATGTTATCTTGGTCAAGTTGTTTGACTTTCCTGAATCTGTTTCCTCCTCTGTAAAATGGAGATAATAACAGTTATTATGAAGATTAAATGAAATAATACATGTAAAATGTATATACATATATCATATGCCTGTTGTTAGTTGCCATTGAGTTGATTCCGACTCATGGCGACCCCACGTATGCATAATAGAACTACATTCCATAGGGTTTTCAAATCTGTGACCTTTCAGAAGCAGATTACTAGGACTTATTTCCCAGTTGTCTCTAGGTGAGTTTGAACTGCCAACCTTTTGGTTAGTAGTCGAGTGCTTAACCATTTGCACCATCCAAGAACTCCACCATATGCCTAGCATTTATTAAGTGCTGAATATATGTTCATTGTTTTATTGTAATTAGGAAATAGATTTTTTTTTTTCCTTCCTAGGTATTTCCAGTAATACGAGGATAGTTGCAGTTGTTTGTCTTATCTAATTAGCTGGCTGAGGGGGTAAAGTTCTGAGTACTTTAATCTCAGTAACCATGTTCATTGGTTAACTCCATGGTCAAAAATTTGATCCCCCCCAAATATAATGACTTAGAGCCAATAGCCTCATTTTCAGCAGAAATCTAGTAAAGTATTTCAGTGAATCTTGGGTGGCAAGCTAAGACAGTGTGTTTGGAGCTTGAAAGTTACTGAAATGTATCTGTAGATGGACCAATCTATTTTGGTCACCATTTCATCCACTCACCTGACCAAAGAACTTGTCATGTAGAAGGTATTCAATAAACATTTGTTGACCAAATGACTGAATCCTTTTAGAAAGGTAAAATGTCTTTAGGGAAAGATGATCAATTTTGCTGAGTGTTTTAAAGTTAGATTATTTTCAATGCTTTGCTCCTTAATTTATTTTTATAGGGCCTGTTCTTAAATTAGTTATGGAGTTGGAAATTTATCTGTGTGACCATGTCATCTCTTGATGCCTCAGTTTCTTCATTTTTAAAATGGGAATAATAATATGGTTGGAACGTGGAGTGTTGTTGTTGTTGTTAGGTGCCATCAAGTCAGTTCCGACTCATAGCGACCCCGTGTACAACGTAATGAAACACTGCCTGGTCCTGCAGCATCCTCACAATCGTTGTTACGTTTGAAGCCATTGTTGCAGCCACTGTATCAGTCCATCTCATTGAGGGTCTTCCTCTTATTTGCTGACCCTCTACTTTACCAAGCATGATGTCCTTCTCCAGGGACTGATCCTTCTTGATAACATGTCCAAAGTATGTGAGACATAGTCTTGCCATCCTTGCTTCTAAGGAGCATTCTGGTTGTACTTCTTTCAAAACGGATTTGTTTGTTCTTTTGGTAGTCCATGCTGTGGAATATGGGTTAATATAAGTGAACTGCTTAGAACAGTGCCTGACAACATGTTCAATACATTTTAACATTGTTATCATTATTACTATTTTTACTACTACTACAGCTGCTCATCAAGATTCCCTTAATAAAATTTATTTGTTGTACATTTCCCTAAACTAAAATTCAGTTAAAACTTCTTTAATTTAAAAACATGAATACCAAACTTTTTCTTACATGTAATGTAATCCTAAAATCTCAAGACTACATATTCTGTGGCGTAGGCTAAATGTTGTGAAATTTTGTTCTTCCATTTTCATTTTTGGAGGAACAAGTGAAGATGGGTTTATTTTGACTGAATGTGAAAACAGTAATCATCAATATGGCTGCAGCATTTTTTCTTTGCTCATTCTGTATTCATCTTTTTTCAGTTACAAATATCATTTGCATGGACCTGATGATGTTGAATGTGGATATTGCAGAGGAGTGATAGCTTCACTTTCATACTGAAGCTGAAGCTTCAAAGAGGAGATTAAAGAAGTGTTTGTTATCTGTCTGCACAGGCCCGATATAAAATCTCAGAGGCTTTTAGCGTAAACACAATTCTGTGTGAGTGTGTGTGTGTATGCTTTTTCTTTGATACATGTCTATTGTGGTCTCTGTATTTGGATTTAAAATTCAACTTATAAACTTCGTTGGACTGTCTGGCTAAGGCAGAATTGTTTTCAGAGTAAAGGGTAAAATTGGAAGATGTTGGCAGGATTTGACTAAATGCCTTCTGTGAAGTGTAGAATTCTCTAGTGTGGAGTCGTCTTCCCAGAGGACAAGATGAAGGCCGTCCATGGGGATATGTTTAACAAGACAAGATCAAGACCTTAAATGTGTCCAGCGGAAAATAATCCATGTATCCTCTAGTGAGGGATGAGATTGCTCACCTTTTGGCCTTTCCTTTTAGAAGTGTCCTCTTGAGCTGTGGTATAGAAGTGTTTGGTTTTTTGTTTGTTTTAAATAGACTTTCTTTGGGGTTATTATGTAATTAATACTTAGACTAAGAAGAGAGGCAGGGAAGGTGGGGTAGCAGGATAGATTTATACCTTCTGAAAAAGAAGGGGACTAACAGTCTGCTTTGTCACTCCATGTCAAATCCTACATCTGATTTTTATTGACAGATATTTAATTACAGTATTATCAAGAACAAAGCAGATTCCACTATTTAACATTAACTAGATAGACCTGCTATTTACTTGATACTATTCTTTCTCTATAATCAGTCTTCTTAAAATATACATACTTTTGAGAGAAGCAATACTCTTAATACATAGAACTCATAAGATCATCTTTCTTCTTAACTAAAAAGAGAAACTAGGAAACCAGGGTCACTTTATAGTAGGTAGAGAAGGGAACTAAAAATATGCATGAATTGAAGTGGGGGTTGTGGGAGAGGGAAACACAAAAGAGGAGGCTGAGATCTTCAATGACACATTTTACTGCTGCAACAATTTGCCTGGGTTTGGCCTTTTAACTGCTACTTGTTTAGGTTCTTTTTCTGGGCCAATAAACGAGAACAACATTGGTTAGCAAAGTTCCTGCTGTTGCTATCATTAACATTTTGGAAAGAGGAGTGTGTGTGTGTGTGTGTGTGTGTGTGTGTGTGCACTCTCATGCCCTATTTTTATTTATATTGAATTAGAGGTTGAGTAATGATTGGAATTGGGGACTAGGACAATGCCTCAAGAAAAGATGGAAAATAGCCTTTAGGTTTGTAATTGCCCACTCTTTGATGATTTGCTGTGTGGTTTAGGGGAAAGGAGTTTTGTGGAAAACTCTTCACAGTGACCAGGTACAGTGGGAAGCTGCACTGTGTCCGCTGGGTGGAGACTGACTCATCATACTTCTATATACGACTTAGTTAAGTTACAACATGCCAGTCCCAATTTACACTGACTTGGACACCTCCTCAGCTGTTGCAGCTTTGGATCCCCTACTACTTTTCTTTCCTCTCTGCCCCCCACCCCCGCTTCCTCTTTTTCCACTGCAGATGTCACTGCTGTCGTAGACTTTCCCTGCCCCCTAACCCATGTATGATACATTTTCCTTTGATTTCCAACCTAGAACTGTTCTGAGAAAGGAAAGGAATAGGAATAGTCAATCATGAGGTTTCTCTTCTACTTTTCTTCCTCATTCTAATATTCTCTCCAAATTTAGCCCTGGATTATGGCAACGTACTTCCCATTGGCCTCCTTCCTCTCTGTTTCTGAAGTACTATTTTACAGAGTAAAGAGATAACCTAGATATCCACTGGGATGATGTTCTTCCTCAAAGTAGCCAAACTTTATTTCAGTTACGTACTGGAAGACATATCATTATCACATATGTATTGTTTTTCATAATCTTTTTTAGGTTATAGAGCCTTTTAAGAATTTTCTAAAAACTCTGGGCTCTCTTCTCAGGAAAAAGTACTCATATGCACATTTATGCTGCTGAGCAGTCAAGATGAGGATGGAACAATATCCATTCTATTTAGTGGCCTAGAAGTCACTATGTCCATAGCAAGAATTAAGGTGCAATGACTGTGAACCAGATTGGAGTATGTTAAGAGTGAGTAGGAGGTAAGGAAATAAAGAGAGTAGGTATAAACAACTCTTGAAAATTTCACTGTGAAGGAAGGGAAAGAAGACAGCAGGTGAAGGGATGTGAGGGGGGTGAGGGAGGGCTTGCTTTATTTTTATATGGACATAAATGCTGATGGAAAGGGCCCAGTTGAGAGGAAGAGGTTGAATATACAAGAGATAAAATCAATGTAGAATAGTATAAGGTTCCTGAGAAGGCAGGAGGAAATGGGATCCGAAGTACAATAGACTTTTGTGGTAATCATTATACAGAACATTGTTTCTGTGGGAAAAAATGCAATTTCGTTTCCAAATAAATGACTTACAAATGATCCTTTCTCCCACTGCCATTTCATTAGTTTAAAACTTCAAGGGTGCTGGTTTTGCCAATCATTTCCCAAAATAAAAGAGGAGATAGAATAGCACAGTGGACTTCAAGAGCTCCAATCTTGGCTCAGGCACCAAAATGTTAGATGACCTTGAGTAAATTGTTCATGCTTCACCTGTAAAACTAAGAATTTGGGCTTAGGAGGCATTTGGGAATGTGTTGTGGGAGTTTTGGTTGTCACAACAACTGGGGTACCACTGGTATTTGATGCCCAGGACCAGTGATGCTAGTTGTCCTGTAGTACACAGGACAGTTTAGTCACAACAAATTGTCCTGCCCAAAGCCCATAGAGCTCCTGATGAGAAAATCTGAGCCACCGGGTTTTGAGGCCCTCAGTGACCTCTGAGGGCCTTTCCAGCTCTAAAGACAAAATTACTTAAGGTATTACAGTGAGTTAAATGCAGCTTAGAGCCTTTGAGAATCTTTCAAAACTCAGGCACAACCCTTTAATTTTTCTCAGCAAGTAGTCATTTTGTCCAGTTGTTGACAATTTAGCGAGCTTTTTGGATTGGATGCTAGAGCTACTTTATATCATCCAAGATTGAGAAATAATTAAGTACAAGTTTGACTTATCTTCATTTTTCTCTTGTATTCCAGGTACCACTGGGATATTCAGCCCCAAGGTGAGTTCTCTTGGATCATTTATGGTTTTATACTAAAAAATAGTTGTTTACTTCTGTCTTTTCTAAATAAGCTTCTCCACAGAGTGATATTAGCAGTTCTGAGGAAAGTTAGTGGGGTGTTTAATTAACCTTCACCCTGCTGGGCCCCCTGCCCTGCTTTTTAGCAATGAGAGGCTCTGATTCTTCTGCCTTCTGAGTGGATTGTTGCTAGATTATTTTATTGAACCAAAACTATAATATACTTTTATTCCTTGAACTTTGTTATATGCAAACAGGATCCATTAGCATTCAAATAAAATGGTGGCTGAGTCCATAATAAAAACTTTGGGAGGGTTCCAACTCAGCTAATCCTTCATTTGCTCCAGAAGTAAATTCCAGTATGTTACCTCCTCGATCATAGTGCTCTTCCACACAGCCTGCCTGTCTGGCAGCAGAGAAATGTCAGAAGTGGAGCAGCGTTGAAATTCCCACTAGAACAGTGTTATCACATTTTAATATGAGCCTCACTGCTGCCTCAGTGCTTCTAATTGCTTTCAAACCATTGTTTTCCTGCTTTTGCTTGATGAACCCAGCATCTGGCATGATTCTAAAAAGTACAACAGACAGCTGTGTGCAAAATTAAAAAAAAAAGGGGGGGGGGCAGGAGATTAAAATACATTTTTAAAAGGTTCAAAATCGGAATTTTTTTTCTGAATTCAAACAGTTTGAAGGAGTGTCTTTAAAGTACATGTGTTCCTTCTTTTTAGCACCCTGGTTGAGAATGATCGGAACATCAACCTGAATATTAATTGTCTTTATTATAAATGGAGGATTTTTATATCAAACTTGCAAATAGCTTACAAACTGCTTTGCTCTATGACTTTTTCTTCTCTTAATGCTGTTAATGTACCCAGTGTCAGTGTCCAGTTTTTGCTGTTGTGTGCCATTGAGTCAATTCCGACTCATAGCAACCTTATATGACAGAGTAAAACTGCCCCATTGGGTTTCCTAGGCTGAAATCTTTATGGGAGCAGATCACCCGATCTTTTTTCCCGTGGAGTAGCTGGTGGGGGAAAGTTTAAAATGTGAATGATGATACTAGTTCTATTAAAATTTTTGTTTTCCTAGCTCATACTTTGTTTTATATATTTCAGGTCTATATAAGACTTTCTTTTAAAAGCTAACCTTAAGAAAGGAAAATCTTACAATTTTAAAGCTTTTTGACTCTTGTAAGCTAAAGTCACAGCATTTATAATACTTATAGTAATGTGATGTGGTGTTACTGTATATCTCACTATTCTAAAGCATGTATAGCTGAAAACATAGATTGAATGGTAGAGAATTATATGTACCAATTTGCTTTGCAAAATGTGAAATATGCTATTCAGGGAATGGCCCTATAGTTCAAGGTTTAACAGATGTTAACTAAAATCCACAAGGGGCAGAACATGAATGCGATCTGGCAGAAATGAATGGAACTGTGAGGGTAGAATTAATTACCTAAAGGAAAAGTAAAAAATTAGTGTCAGAGATGTGGTATAGTAATGTGTTGAGAAGAGAAAATAATTTTGGAATTTAACACGAGACTATATAGAGCTAAAAAAGACAAAGGACATGTCTTACCAGATTCTTATAATAGTGGCATTGTAGCCTTTTTCCAGCACAGGGAAACTTCTACACATACTTTCTCTCTTAGAGAGAGGGCAGAAGTAGAGCTGCCAAGGGCACAACTGAAAATAGTTTACTTAGAACAGAAAACTGTATTTACTTCTCGACAATGATTGAATATATTTAGCAAAATCTTTCCTCATTTGGAAGTAAATGCAAAGAAAGAGCAAGCAGAAAAATCTATATTCATTGTATCTTGTCCCCAGCCTTGCTTCTCCTTTGTTTTTCTTTTTGGGCCAGGGGAGTATCTTTTACCTTGCCCTTTCGATCAGATTTTTGTGGATTGTGTGCTTCAAAAATTGGTGGGGCGGTGGGTAGGAGCAGTAACATGTCTATATAAGGAACTACAGGACAATTTAGGACTGTGAAAAGAATAGGAATATGTAGGAAAGAAGAGCTGGCAGAAGAATTTTAAAAACATTGGAAGACTAGGTAGCATAGGGGTGGGAGTGAGAGAGGACAGAAATGATGGCTGTGATCTTTCTTAGCATTTTTATCCATGGCAGGACCCTCTGTGCAGGAAGATGATGGCATGAATTTTATTAACTCTTTGCTCTTGCCTGATTAGATACGTGTGTTCTTCAGGATATTTGAACTAAACCACAGTCTGGTGACAGGAAGGAAAATAGTCCTTAATTATAAAAGATGCCTTGCTTTCAAAAATCCCTTTAATAGCGCATATTTAAACATCTGATTATGGTAAAAGTCGGTGATGAGTTGGTACAGTGCTCTGAAGGGGTATCACTTAAAGAAAGACACTTAAGAGATGAACCACCCAGACTTAAAGAAGGAATGTCAAGCAAAGGTCCTCTTATCCATCTTTCCATCTAATCCCAGGTTTAATGTGGTGGAGGACTGACCATTGAATAGTATTAGGGAGAGTCTCATCCCTGTTCTGGAAAGGAAACATGTATGGTAGAGAGAATACAGACTTTGAAGCCTGACAGACCTGGGTTCAAATCCCACCTTTACCATTTAATGGTTCTGTGACTTAAGCAAGTTAATTAATGTCTCTGAACCTCAGATGTGCCAGATGCTGTGTTAAGTACTTTGCATACATTATCTTACTTAATCCTCAGAAGAACTCTATGAGATAGGTACTGTTAATATATCCATTTGACAGATGCAGGTACTGAGGCACAAAGAAGTTAAGAAACTTGGTCAAGGTGATGTAACTCAAGGATTCTAACTTGGTCGGTCTGACTCCAGAGCCTACCCTCTCCCTTAAAAAAAAAACAACAAGTTTTATTGAGATATAACTCACATTCCATAAAATTCACCCTTTTAAAATGTACAAGTCAGTGGCTTTAAATATACCCATGGAGTTGTACAACCATCACCACGATCTAATTTCAGAACACTTTCATCACCCCAAAAAGAGACCCTGTACGTATTAGCAGTTCCAGAGGCCACAAAACTTCATCACAGTATTTCACTGTCTCAGGGTTGTTAGGAAGGTTACTAGTAATTTGTGTAAGTGCCCAGTACAGTGCCTCAACATAGTAAACGATAAGAAAATGTCATTTATATTTATGATAGTGTTAATGGTAAGTCTTTCCCTCACATTTCCACACAAGTTTTCTTATTGGTCTGTTGTCTACTTCCTGAATGAGTTTCATTAAAAAAAAAAAAATTAAACATAGGAAAAGAAAACATGATCCCAGGATTTTATTACTTTAGTATAGAGAGGACATAAATGAAAGAGCTCTTTTAGTTACTTCAAATATGATTGGAGAACATGGGGAAGCCTTTCTGTTTTTGTTTTTATTTTACAATAAGACTTAAGATTCCTTTGAAAATTCAAGTCTTCCTTACTTAAAAAAACTTTTTTTCCTGCTTAATTTTTTTACTTAAAGTTACAAAGAAAAGCCATTGGAATCTTTGCCATAGAATTTTTACCATTTCAGTAATTAATCAGATATCTGAAAGATAATATTGATTAGCTGTCTAAACAACAATATCAATTTTGCCTTTTGGATCTGATGACAGTATCACTGATTTCCTTCATTTTGTTTTAGGTTCCCGTTTATTAAACGAGCTAATAATTGTTAGTTACAGTTACATCAATCAAAACTTTGATTTTAATGTATAATATTTATAATTCAGAATTTATTGCTATAAAAACATCTTCATGAATATTAGATAGAATTACCTACCATGGACCCAGAATAAAAACAAATGGCATAATATTTAAGCAAAAATTTAAGGAAGACCATTGGAATTCTATATGTATGTACTATGTATATATGTGTATGTATATGTATATGTGTGTATATATATGTATATATATACATATATATACATATATATGTATAATCACATTTTTTGTTCAGTGGTCACTCACATTACATTTGTGGCAATGTTGTATGTAGGCTAGTGAAATTTCTTGCCAACTTTGAATATCTGCATGAGTGATATAGAGGCTTTCTGAGAAAATTATCCAATATTTCAGTATGAAATTTTCCTACTGTGTGAGTCTTAAAATTTTAATTTTGAAATGGCAAGCTTATATTTCTTGTCAAAGCAAATTTATGCCTAAAAATATAGCTTGGCAAAATCAATAGTGCAAAGTGAATAAAGAAATGTTATTATAAAATCAGGTTAACTACAGATTAAAAGAGATTTAAGACACATATCAACTGATTTGTGGACCTTATTTGTATCCTAAGTCAAACAAACAAACTATAAAAATGACATGTATGAGAGAATTAGAAATTTGAACTGATTGGATATTTTAAGTTATTAAGAAACTACTGTTACTTTTTCAGGTGTGATAATGGTAATGTACTTATGTTTTTTTTTAAATAGTCGTTATTTTAGAGAGAGACATGCTGTGATATTTACATATGAAGTGATATGATGTCTGACATATTATTCAAAATAATATGGCAGGAGGAGAAGAGGTAGGGTGCAGATGAAACAAGATGGACCATAAATTGACAATTGTTTAAGCTAGATGATGTTGTACATAGGGATTCATTACACTCTTCTGCCTACTTTCGTGTACGTTTAAAATTTTTCATGATATAAAGTTAAAGGAAAAAGAAATCCAGGTTGGGGTTAATAAAAAACATGGCATTATTTTTTTATTTCTATCATGACACCTAGTATATTAATGCATAAGATACTTTAAGTATCTTGGTCACAAAATACCTAGAATACTGAGCTGATTTTTTAAAAATTTCCATTTGTATATTAGGAAGTTAGTGTTTTGTGATGGAAAGAGCATGAGCTTTTAAATCAGACCTGAATTTGAATACCAGCTCCTCTGTTCACAAGCTTTGGAAGCTAGGGCAAGTGATACAACCTCTCAGAACTTCAGTTTCTTCCTTTACAAAATTTCACTAATAATC